TCCAGGCTGCCGTGTGTCTTACAGACACTCTGCTTTCCCTGCCGTGCCGTTTCTTGACTGAATGCGATTTGTCTGCGTCCTGTGGGGCCCTCGGCGAAGTCCTGCTGCCCGCGGACGGGGACTGGTCCTCCCCATCCCGGGGAAGGCGCAGGCTGCGGCTGCATCCCCGCCTGTGCTGAGCATTCAGGGCTGCCTCCTTGGTTTTCTATTTGTATGACTGATAAAGCCTTCCTGCCTACTTACTCCTGACTGTCCTGATAAAGCTGCTATAATTGCATCAGGACGGGGAAGTCAGGCGTAACAGAATAAATCCAGGTGCTTGCCACCAGCTGAAGTGGCTTTTTCACATTCCCCCAGAGGGAATTTTGCTTTGCAGGACCGAGACTAAGCGGCATAAATGTTTTCTTGCTTGTATCTGAGATCGCTGCTTAAACAGACGTTCTCTTTATGTGTTGCTCGATGCTGCAGTTTCTTCACTTTACAGAGAGTGAATGACTGGGGGAGGCTGGAAAGAGCATAATAATATTTGCCCATTCCTCAGGAGTGTCATGTGTCATCATTAATACTCGTGAGCCCCGGAGGGAAGGGATTAGAGCTGAACAAATTATTATGGCAAGTCGGATTCTGGCTGCAGCACATCTCATGCTCCTCTCTGGCACCTCTCCTCCGAGGATTTGCAAGGAATTAGCAGATATCAAGTCCCTGCTACTCCCTGTGAGGGGCCCAGGGCTCTGTGCAGGGAAGAAAACGGGGGTGCTGAGCTGTGGTGGGACTTGCTGGCTTATGGAGAGGTTTATGGCTGTCGGCTTCGGTGTTGACTCCCGCTTGCGCTGCCCCTGCAGTAAATGAGGCTCTCTGCTCACTTAACTGGGGACAAAATACGTACCAGGACTTCTCCTGCCAGGGATGGGCTCAATGCTGCCCTGGGGGCTGTCATGGAGAAACGCACAGTCCTTTCCCCTGCCCATAATCCAGGGTCTCCCCAGCAAGGACAGGATAGGACGGCAGGAGGATATTTTTGTCATTCCCAGCACCCCAGACGTTTGGGACATCGGCTGTCCCCAGAAACCTGGGACCACGGCAGGAGGCAGGACCAAGAGGCTGTTTGGGGCAGGGGAAACCCTCTTCTCTGCAGGGATGGCAAGGGAAGAGCCAGCTTGGCTGACCCATCCCGGCATGGCCGTAAGTGTGGCCACAACGTGCTGTCACGTGCCTGGGGCAGACGTGGTGCGAGCGCTGCCCTGATACACTACCCCATGGGCTGTATGTCAGCCCCATGGGCTCTGTGTCAGCCCTGCGTGGCTGCCTGTCACGTTACCCCATCGGGCTTTCCACCCTCCACCCTGCCACGTTGCATCTCGTCCCATTTTTCTCCAGCTGTGACACGGTGCCATCAAGTTGTATAAAATCTGAGGCGCTGCAGCCCGAAGTAGGTCAGTAAGTTGTTTTTCCCCAGCCGAGTTGTTCGTCGCAGCAATGGGGAGGGTGAAGCCAGAGAACTCCGCATGGGTGCTCCGGGATGAGGTCTGGACCTGGGCGATAAATCATCCTCCCGGGATTAATCCCCAGCATCCCTCGAGCATCCCCACGCTGCTGGGAGTGGTTTCCTGCGGGCAGCCGTGATTTTGGGGGGGACCAGGACGTGGGTATCATCTTGGGGTGATGCCATCCACCTTCCCAAACCCACACCATGTCCTCAGCCTCGCAGGACACGAGTGCCAGTGGCAGGTTCACGCCATGCCTGGCTTGTTGTTGTGCCTGGCCTTATGTAACCGGTGCCGAAATCTTGCTCTCTGCTGGGGGTGGTGAGGGAAGGTAGCCGGGATGGAAAGCGGAGAGGGGGAAGCAGCTCATCGCCATGGTTACCAGCATCTTTACAAAGTTCTTCACATCCATCTGGTTTTATTTTCAGCCCTTTTCATCTCACGGAGGGAACATCCCTTGATGTTTCTGGCTGCATCAGCCACGGCAGACGGGGTGGTGGGTTAGAGGAGGCGCGTGGGAGGTGGGAGACGGGCGCACTTTGCCTCCCAGCCCCTGAGACGAAGCCCGACATCGAGTCGAGTCGCTTAACCTCCTGTTCCCTCCATTTCCCACTGAATGGCTTGGCCAGGATGTGCTCTCTGCTGGGATTCGGGTGGTGTTTTCTCAGTCTGATACCCAGTGGGGACTGCCACATCCTGGACCACGAGCTCCAGCCTGGGTGTATCCGAGCGGAGGCATCTCAGCTGGGGGAGGCAGCTGCCCTGCCGAACACACCATCTCCTGCAGCGGGATCTGGGCTTGTACCCAGAGCCGGTGAGGCTGGAGGGTGGCTCCGTGACTTGAGCCTGGGCTCCTGGAGCTGCCTGCAGAGCTCCTGACTGCCAGAGCCTTCCAGCAAATCAATTCTGGAAATGAACAGGATGGACTAATTGAGTTAATCCTGAGAAGTTAATCAATGTCGAGGCGGTTTGGCCAGAAGTCCTGTTTATAATCCATACAGAGATCATTAGTGCCTTATGAAATGGAAGCGCAGCATAAAGCCACGCTTTATGGAAAACAGAGGCAGAATCATGTCCAGGTCCCACAGGCTGTGCCTGGGGGAACCGTACCCAGTGCAAGTGCAGGATGCGGCCTGCCAGCCGTGGGCAGAGCTTGCGGAGAGCTCGCAGCCACGCTCGTGGGAACCGCGAGGCTCAGGCTCTGCCTGGTTTCCCCTCTCCTCCCGGGTTTTCTGCCTGCCCCATCTCTCTGTTCAGCATTAACAGCTCAGAGCTGCTCAAGGACCAAGAACAGCCCAAGCCTGGAACCACGCTGGTGCTCAAAAGCATGGGAAGAGCCGTGGCTTGTCCGCCCCAGTGCAAAGGCAGCTGGGCATCTTCCAGCCAGGGCTCCAGCCAGTCTGGTGCCCAGCTCCTTGGGCTCATCACCGATCTGGAAGTGTGGCTCAGCAGAGCAGACCGGCCCCTTGCCAGCGAGGTCTGGATTTGGCTTCTCCTTCCCAAGGCTCTGAGACCTGCTCTTTCTCACAGCTTGGATGGGTCCATCCCCGGAGCAGTGAAGGGAGCCCGAAGGGTGACACGGCTGCTTAGCATGGAGCTAGGCCAGCCTGCGGGAGCAAGGGGCTGCGGGAAAGCTCTCGCTGCTGCTGGATTCCGCATGGACGTGCTTGTGTCCAGAAGAGAGATTGCCGATGCAAGCCCGGGCACCGGGCAGAGCTGGGACTGCCATGGCCCCACGCTCGCCCAGGCAGCTCCCCAGCCAGCAGCAAGGAGAAGGAGCACCCGGGACCAGCTTTGCTGCATTTCCAGTCCATACAATTCAGCACCCAGAGCCTTGCACGGCATTTGCGTGGGAGTCGGGCCACTGTCCCCGGCAGAGCCGGGTGAGAGTCAAATGCTGGCTGCGGTCCTGAGAGCTGGCAGCGGTCTCCAGGGAAGTCGCGCCGCCTTTGCCAAGGGAACCGTTACCTGGATCACCGGCCTGGAGCAAACAGGCTGTTTTTTCCTGGGAGCTCACGGGGACCAGGCTGGGCGTGTTGGGGTCCGCAGGGGTCTCTGAGGAGGGCACAGTGTTGGCTTTCCCAAACATAGTGAATTATAAAAGCCGCAGAGGAGATGGAGGCCTGTGCTCCCAGTCTGCCTCCATTAGTTATTTTGTTTAATTAATTCCCTCTCGTGCAGTTTGCCAGCAAAGCACCCATAATCCTGCCGGGTGCACTTGAAGGGGTTGCTCGGAGAGCTAAGGGGGCTGCTCCTGACAGCATCACTGGGATTTAGATGTTTAATTCCCCTCTGGGAACGTGCTTTTCCTTCTCCTCCCCTCTGCGGGGGGCATGGTCAGTCCCCGCAGCCGCCGCTCAGGGGGCAGCCGGTGCCCCCTCCTGCAGGGACAGCCCTTCTGCGCAGTGCCTGCTCTGGCTCTCTTCGCCCGTTGGCATGAATAATTCACCGTGTTTAGCTTCATCAATAATAAACGTGCATCAGGCTGCCAGCCAGGGGAGGCAGGGACCTCCCCAGCACCCTCCGCACCCACCCTCGGCATCGCCAGGACGGCACCGGGCTCCAGTCCCGATGCCCCCAGTGCCACCAGTCTATGCTACCTCCCATCTGTCTTTGCTCGGGTCTGGCTTCGTTCTTGTCCGTCTCGGTGGTCCCAGCATCCACAGCCCTCTCCCAAAGCCAGCTGAGTGCATCTGGAAGTGCAAATGTCAAGGAATGAGCCTTGGGGACAGCAAGGACGGGGCCACATCCCCCCAGCCCGCATGATGCCGGGGGGGATGGAGGAGAGGTCCCAGCCCCAAAGCGGGCACTGGGTCACTGCCCCTACCCCAGTTCTCTCATCGTATTATTTTCAGCCTTGGTTTGCAGAGTGTCTTTAATTAAAACCTTCATCTCCAATCCCTGTAATTTCCATCTCTTGCTATTTGTATTGGTGGTTTAGACTAGCGATAGATATATATATTTAATTGGTATAAATAATGCATTTTCATAGCTAGATCTTTCCTTTTCCGTACTTGGTGCCAGAAATAACATTTTCATTTCAAACAGGCTTTTCTTTGCGTGTTCCTTCCCTCGGCCAGAACGGATCCCTCCTCAGAGGCCCACGGCTGCATGCCGGGGACCACGTGGATTTGCAGCCGCTTGAGTTCATCTCTGCTGGGCCAGCGTACATTGCACCAGCTCGGTGATGGGGACGTTGCCCAGACAAAGCTGGACAGGGAGTGGTGGGTCCATCTTTGATCTGAAAGAGAAGCCCGTTCGCAGGTGGCTGAGGAGGGCTGTGCGTTTGGGGACCACTACGTTCACCCCCCGGTGCACCCCCAGAGGCACCTTCCGCCCTCGCTCGTGCTCCCGCGGCTTTGCCCAGGGCTGGCAGGCAAGCGGAGGGGGCAGGGCTGTCCGCGCGCACCGCGCC